GAATCTCTTAATGATAGGAAGGTTAAAAATGGAGAAGCCGTCCACCGAGGTATGAAATGCTGCTATTGCAGAGAGGTGTACTCTTAGAGAGGAGATTGACAGTCCTGATGCTTTAAGGTCCAGAATGTAGTCTAGGATGGTATTTAGTGCGGAGGCACAGGGCTCCACTTTGGCTCGCTGACACCAGTGACAGAATCGTGTCCATTTCTGCTGGTAAGTTTTCCGAGTAGACTGTCTCTTGCTATGGAGGAGGATGTCTTTTACTCGCTGGGAACAGCGATCTCTTATCTTTGTGAACCAGAGAGAAGCCATGCCTGAAGATGCAGGGTACAGAGTTGCGGATGCAGTATCCTGCCATCGTCCTGAGATAGTAGGTCTACCCGGTATGGTAGTGGATGGGGAAGCTGGACCGCTAGCCTGTGAAGGTATGGGTACCAGGTTTGGCGAGACCATGATGGGGCAATCAGGATGACTAGGGCTTTGTATCTCAGGATCTTGCGTAGAACGCTTGGGATGAGCAGTATGGGGGAAAAGGCGTAGTGTAGGAGGGCTGTCCTTTTGATTAGGAAGGCATCCCCCAGAGAGAGTGTTTGCCAAGTCCAGCACATGAGAAGAACTGGGGATATTTGGTGTTCTGGGTAGAAGCAAAGAGGTCAATAGATGGTCATCACCATTGGTGGAAAATTGAGTTTGTGACCTCCGTATGTAACTTCCATTTGTGGTCTATGGTGAAGTTTCGACTGAGGGAGTCCGCGTTGGTGTTGTTCACCCCGGGCAGGTAGGATGCTATAAGGGTGACTTGGTTGTGGATGCATGAGTTCCACAGGTGAATAGCCTCCGTGCATAAGGAGCAGGAGCAGGCTCCGCTCTGTCTGTTTATGTAGAACATCATGCAGATGTTGTCTGTTAGGATGCGGACTGTATGACTGGCGACATTGGATTCAAAGTGTGCACAGGCATTCCTTACTGCCCTCAATTCGAGGAGACTCATGTGTAAGAGTGTCTTGGTTGGGGACCACCTGCCTTGAACTTTGCGACCATCCATATGCGACCCCCAGCCAAGAAGGAAAGCATCCGTGGTGATTTGGATAGTGGGTTTGATTTGTTGGAATGGAACACCCGCCAGAAGATTGTTTGGCACTGTCCACCATTGTAAGGATGCGAGCACGTTTGGTGGGACAGTAACCCTTTTGTTTGGAGGGTGTCATGATGGGATGTAAACGGTTGCCACCCAGAGCTGAAAGCATCGAAAGTGCAGGTGAGCAAGGTGGACTATATAGGTGGTGAAGTCATGTGTCCCATTAGTCGGAGGCATGTAAGTATTGCGGTGGTAGGAACTGTGAGCTTATAATTTCCTGTATAGTTGCAAAACGTTGATGAGGTAGGTATGCTCGGGCTGTAACTGAGTCCAGGAGTGCGCCAATGAACTCTATTTCTTGAACCGGGTGCAAAGTTTATTTGTCTTTGTTGATTAGAAGGCCTAGACGACTGAGGAGACCCGTGGTCGTATGTACCATAGAAGTGGTTTTGGCGTACAAGTATCCCTTTAGAAGGCAGTCGCCCAGATAGGGGAATATGATGACATTCTGCCGTCTGAGATACGCAGCTACAACCACCAGTACCTTCGAAAATACCCTCGGAGCTGATGAGACACCAAAAGGGAGAACCTTGTACTGGAAGTGGTCTGGTCCGAGCGCAAAGGGTAGGTAGCGTCTGTGGGAGGGGTGGATGGTTATATGGAAATAGGCATCTTGGAGGTCGAGGGCTGCAAACTAGTCCCCTTGATCTAGAGCAAGAATGATTGCGGAGAGAGTGACCATCTTGAAATGCTGTTTCTTGAGAAACTTGTTCAGTTTGCAGAGGTACAAAATAGGTCTCCAACCCCCTGTTCGTTTCTCGGTAAAACCCTCTCCCCTGGAACTCTCAGGGTACCCTTTCTATAGCTCCGACGACGAGGAGTCGATTGATCTCGTTTTAGAAGGGTTTCATGAGAGTGGTCCCTAAAGAGGGATGGAATAGGGAGAAAGGTAGGGGGGATAGAGGTAAATGGGATGGTATAGCCCACTCGAATTATCTCTAGAACCCAGCGGTCCGATGTTATGGATTCCTATTGTGGAAGGAATGGCCGCAAACAGTGGGTGAATAGATGGCCACGTTGAACTGGTACTAGATCATAAGAGAGATCTTGCAGGCCCTCGACCAAATCTTCAAATTTATTGCTTAGATGGTTGGGTAGTTGGGTGGGCGGGCCTGGTTGGGGCACCTTCTGGGACCTCACTGTCTTGGTCTGGTGTCCTCAGAGCCTCTGTGGTCGATTGTATTGCCCATATCAGTACCGTTTGTGTGAGTTATATGGGGTGTATCATGTACGTTTGTAGGGCGGCGTGTGCATGCCCAACGTGCAAAGTGTGGACTCAGAATTTTTGCTATTATGGAGCATTTTGTCCGTAGTAGCTGCAAATAGCTTTTTCTTGTCAAATGGCAAGTCTTCCACTTTGGGCTGGAGTTCGCGGGGAACTTCAGACGACTGGAGCCAAGAAGCTCTACGCATCACCACCGCTGTCGCTGTAACTCGGGCTGCGGTGTTGTAGCCAGACAGCACCCCCCCTTGTAACATCCATTTTTGCTTGCCTGGATATGCTGGCTCAGTGACCGTGAATGGCTGTAAACAGATATGCCAATTGCTGACCAAGAGGCTGCGGAGGAGTGCCCTTGACTAAAACCCATATTGATACAAACACACAGCCGTCCGCGGGGGGAGGAATCTCCCGCTCAGCAAAGAATATCCGGCACTCCTAATTTAGCTATCTTCCTCTCTTATAAGTGTAAATTATTTGAAACTCCCTTGTAAGACCTGGCGCCACAAAATGGACCAGTATAATTTGGCATCTTAAGATAAGAAAGAGGATACGGGCACCCAGGGGTATAAAGATGGGTCCAGCAGCACATTTACTCTAAGTGTCAATCTACCATCTATCTGCTGATCGGGTTAGGTGTTTGACCTCCCGAGGTTCCACGGGGACGCCCACCTCATATCCGTCTTTCCTAGGAATTGAGGGACCGGCCCTGGCCTGACACGCTGGGACCGAAAGGCACAGAAGGGAGTAAAGCTTGTACCTGGATGTGGTCCTTTGTCTTAAGTGTACACCTAGCAGTTAAGAAATAGAGCAATAGCTTTTGTAACCATATGATTTATAAGCTTCTTTAATAAACCTCTGTTTAAGTTTTAACCTGACTCCTTCAGCTATAACAGAACCAAGCACAATTTAAAAGAATTTCAGCCGGTCATAAGGGACAGGTATAGGAAGAGCTTGGGCGTTTTGGATCGTGTCACTCCCAGGTGACAGATCCATTGGGGCATCTCTCAGTCTTCCCTAGACTGCCCGCTGCAAAGGGATCCTGTATCCTAGCAGCTGAAATCTGAGATGTAATAAGCTCTTCCTATAAACTCTAGGGCATCTGTCAGCCTGTTGGCTGCCCTCCGCGACGGGACCCTGGTCCTAGCAGTAAAGACACGGACATTAAACCTTTTCTCAGTAACACACAATGCCCTGACCGTCGGCTGACAGGTGTCAGCAACATCCATTGCGGTTTGGAGAGCAGTGCGCGCGATCATATGGCCCTCATGAACTATTGCTTTCAAGATGGATCTTTTGGACTCAGGGAGATGTGGAATCAGTTCTCCCAGTTTCGAGTAATTGTCAAAGTCATGATTTGCTAAGAGAGTGGAGTAATTCAATGTTCTGAGTTGTAGGGTGGAAGAGGAATATACTTTCTCACCAAAGGAGTCCAACTTTTTGTGGTCTTTGTCTGCGTTGCCCGTCCTGTATTGTGGGAGCTTTGCACGTTGTTCTGCTGAGTCTATGACTAATGAATTAGGTTGTGGGTGCATGAAGAGAAAATAGTTGTCTTTTGAGGGGACAAAGTACTTTGTCGATTTTCTTATTAGTTGATTGAATGGACGCGGGTGTTTTCCACAGGTCTTCCGAGGTCTCCATTATTGCCTTGTCTATGGACAGGGCAATCTTGCTATGTAGTGTAGGATGTAGATTTTTTAATCAATTGGTATTGTTTCTTCTGGTATTCGTCTCCCTGCAAGAGGTGCACTTTCATGTATTAATGGAGGTCCAGTGCAGCCAGGAGATGGGCAAGGAGAACAAAGTAGAGGAGGAGGACCC